GTCCTAATGCAGAGGGCTCTTACAGTATATACATAAGTTTGGCAGTTATATAGCTTTTTCTGTTATCTTTTTCTCTTTTTAGTGTTGTAAAGATAAATGATCTAATTTTCTTTTAAATAATTTATTATTCTTTTAAAATCAAAGATAAAAACATATTTTTCACTTTGGGGTTTACTGTAGAAATTGGATTAAAGCAAATAAGACATGAATTTTTCTCCGTATTGCTATCCATTCACATATTTGAGTATACAGTAATTAATTACAATTTTATATAAAAAACAATAGTATTTGTATTCAAAACAAACAAGCAACAAAAATAAGCTCATATTTAGAAATAGCCCTATATGTATTAAAAATCTTACTTTGAAAGCTTGTCGAAATTTCCGCGACATGAGACTGTAAAGAATGGGGTTTACTGCAGTTGACAAGTAGCTATTAATTAAGCTCATGTATAAGAATATTTGCCAGATCTGAAAAAAGAAATGAAAAATATAGCATGTGTATATAAACACCGTACATTCATTACTTCAATATCTAACAATCTAAATAATGTGTTTCTAGCAACCGTAAACAATGTAACGAGCTTTCCTAACGACTTTAATGAGTTGAACCCAACTGTTTTTGTGTTAGTTAATACTTTTCCATACTAAACTGTTTGACTTGGAGTTATATTAAACATTGAAATCTCGTGAGGTAGTTTTAAAAAGAAGGATTTGTAAACATTGTACACCTGTTCTCTGAAACTTGATTTAAAAGCTTGTAGTACGAAACGTTCTAAAAAATATTAAATTTTAGTCCCTATCGACATTAAGGTGGCATAGTGATAAAGTCTAAAGTTCTGGTATTATTGTTGCGGCTGATGATAAGAGGGCTGGTTTCTTTTCTCGATTAAAGATTAAGTTAATTAAAGATAAAAACAGATATTCATCGACGAAATACAGATAGAGTTCTTGTTACCACGCCGCGTGGGCTAGATTTGTTAAATAACATGTAATAATTTTTGGTTCAATAAATTGCTATCCTTTATTTATATGAAATAATCACTTACCATATAATAGTCGTCTTGTCTGAGCCGAGGAATGATCATCATCACCCGTAAAACAGAATACGGAAACCAACAAAAAAAGAATGAAGCAGCAACCGCAGCTGAAAATATTAACAAAGAAAGAAAACAATTAACACAAGAATCTACAAATTAATTCCATTTAAATATCTCTTAGTTTCACTGAAAGACCATAAAAGCCTATAAATATATGAAAATCATAAATTTTTGTTTGTAAAGTGATGATGTTGTGATATTCGATTGCATATTTCAACTTGATAGGATAATTAGTACTTTTACGTCACTTTAATGGGGTATCCCATTAAGTTGCTTCAAATGGAATAACGCATATTATTATAAAAAACTGTACTGAGATCAAACGAAATGATGACGATGTTATTTCAAGTGAATAAGAAATACAATCTGTATTTGAAATAGGGAAATTGAACATCTTGTGGCCGAACGCAACATTATCGGCGAAACAAAGGCCGCGAGACTACGGTGGCTCGGTCACATGGATAGAATGGGGTAGGATCATGCCATCAAGAGAGCATAAATATGGGGCCACCAAAAGGAAAGCGTATTGTTGGTCGCCCCAGATATCGCTGGAAAGATGAAGTCCAGAAAAATCTGAGCCCTCTCCAACCAGCCAACTGGCAAGAAACAGCCCAGAATAGAGAGAAGTGGCGCCTTTTAGTGTCGCAGGCCAAAATTCTCTTTGGGTCGCTGAGACAGCAAGTTAGTGAGTATTTGAAAGTACTAACCCAGCATCGTGATTGCCTTCTCCCTGTTTCTCTTTCCATTTGCCGGGCTGCTCTTCATTTTGTTGTTTGTATATTTCAATTTCAAAGCGATTAATATGTAAATAACAAATATAAATGTCATAGGGAAGACGAAGAATACAAATAGGTCAACACCCATAATTATCTGCATCTTATTAGTTATTTTGAAAAGGCAGTAAACTCCCTTATTGCGCTCAAACAGGATGACATTAAAAACTTGCAGCAAGCAGAATAGGCAAGACAACATCCAGTTAAACGTAACGATTTTAATGACACGAGACGTGAATGCGAGGGACTGTCGGAGAAACGGTTTCATAATAACAATGTACCTTTCGACGCTGAAGGCGAAAATAGTCAACACACTACTATTGCTGAGACAGTCCCATATAACAAAGTGAATCCGACAGCCTATTTCCCCTATCGGAAAATAATCAGGCATCCAGATGATGTAGATTTCGATAGGCACGCAAAGGGTAGTTAAAAGGTCGGCGATGGCGAGATTAAACAGGTAACAGTTGGTAGCCGTCCTCATAGAACGGTTGCGAACAATTACGGCGCACGTACATAAATTTCCCACTAAACTCAATATCAAAGTTATGGTTAAAAATACACTTAACAAAATTTTAAATTTTATATTCTCGATAATGCTGAATCTGTCAATTTGCTTTATATTTGGATAGTAGAAAAATGAATCGTTGTATTCGCTGTTGTTTCGAAACACCATAGCGGAAATGACGCCGAGAAAATGTAAGAAATTTATACCGAGTGACTCTCCTGGTCTTAACGACGTTATACTACATGGAACACGCAACACGTTAGGGGAAGGCTAACGATGTAATATGTTTTTTTTTATCGTGCTTCTGTGACACTACAGGACGTTTCAAATCCAATGGGAAATTTTTTATTGTATTTTAAAAACAATTTGTTTCCGAGCTCGATCCAAGAAGAAGATATGAGTCTTAGAGCCAGATATAACCTAGAAATCAAAATTTTGCTAGACGGACCTAACATTATAGGGGTTACCAAAGCCTAAAAACTTACTATATACCTCGGTGAGGATGGTACGCCTACATTTAGGCTAGAAAGATAGAAGCTAGAAGAATATTTAAGGTTTGTTTGTTTTGATTTGTTACGCAAGCAGATTAGAAGCAATAGTTGTAGATATTGAACATTTAACAGTAATATAAATAGATGTACGAAAACTTTACATAATTATAACATAATATGCGTAATAACATTTAATATTATTCCTTACTATTTGCAAATAAAATTAAATATAATTGTGGAAATGACAAATCTCAATATGAACGTCTTAATTAACGTATTTAATTAGCTTTTACTTATAGAGACAGGAATTATTTTGATAGTTGCAAAGGATATACTTCTAAAATAGCTTTATTTATTGCTTGCATGTATATATATATATATATATATACATATCACAAAATCTAATGGCGACTCCATATAAACTCAAAATAAACCCGTTTTTATGAACACCATAAATATGAAAGTAATTGAGTGTAACCAAACAAGCGCTCAAATTGATAGTTACTATATATAGAATATATGGAGCTTGGCGACAGCTTCCCCTAATTGAAATTACTATCAACTACAGTCTCGAGGAAAAGAACTTTTTTTTTTCCTGAAAACCTATCTTAATCTTTTTATATTTTACACGAAGGATATTATTGTTTGAATCTACCTACTTTCCATACCGTGACCATATTAATGTTACAAAGGATTCAGAACCTAGAGAGTTAAGGTTTAAATTAAATGCAATAATGAAACTATTTAACAGTTTAAAATATATTTTTTTAATTATCTATTATTATTATTTACACAGATTTTGTGTTGTTGTTTAGAAATTTAATCGAAATTAGAAGTTTTTTTCTTTATTTTATGTAGCTACAAAGTTACACAAGTTCAAATGGTATAAAAAGGATAATAATAAAAGCAATAGAAAAGGAAGGTGGCAAGTGTTTGTCGCTTTAGCTTTAAATCTCGAGATGAATCCGTCGTTCTCGTCCCCATATTAACTATATTTGCTGGCTCTTTGTATGCCACGAAAAGGTTTCAAATGATACATGTTCATTGCTTGAATCTTTAACAACATGTGTGGCTTGTGTGGTATAAAATATTATTGATTGAAGTATTTAGGCCATATGAAAACTATGTTTTAGTCTTATTATAGCATAAATATAACATACGAATTTACTTCTCACTGAACTATTGTAAATTATACGATTTTATTATTTAAACAAATTTACTAATATCTACTTCATTCATGTTCAACGCGTTAAAACAAATTTTCCATTTCATAACAAACTATTCCCACTATTTGTCCACCTTCCTTCCGTTACGGAATTTGTAAAAAAAATCAATCCCTCCCTTTTACTTTCTTCTTCTTTTGAGGGGAGTGCCAAAATTGTAACGTTATGTACCAATTTTTTATACTTGTCAGCCATGAGAGATACTGATATATAATCAGTACTAACATATTTTAAGCTAACATATTTATTTAATCAACCTAGCGAATATTCATTTTTATTATGTCATAGTTTATACATAAATTCTTGGCTATTTAGTAATATGTAGATGTTTTAACTAAAAATGCGCACATCAGACACAAACATTTATATGCTTGCAAAGAAATTGTTGACTAGTGCGTGTCCTTAAATAATTTTATACATTATGCGATGTATGCATACGATGCATGCATACGACGTATGTTTAACAGTGGATTAAAAATGATAATGACGTTAATGATAACTTAAATTACTTTTGTGACGATAAATGTGATTGGGATTTTCATTAAAAACAAATTATGGGACACCGTTTATTTATCTTATTTGCTGTAAAAATAATAAATATCACATTTAATCTATAATAACAATTTAAGACAAATTTGTCTTACGTTCAAAAATTTATTCAAGTTATTTTAATAATTTAATTTCACGCACACTATTCTACGCGACCAGGTGTAGACTTTATTAACTTAATATTACTTAAGACAAAGTTTACATTATAATGCAGACTTATCAAAATTTATCACAAATCCGTCACAGTTGATTGAATTTAAAGTCTATACTATTGTGGAATGAGCCACCAACATTTATACCAACTACTGTATCGATCGGATGAATATAAAACTTATAATTTGGGCAAGTATAGATTCATTCCTCCTTAGGATTAATAATTTGAGCGACCTCCTTTTCTTCAACGTCGACGTCTTTGTCGTCCCATCCCCAAAGACCGTGGCTACCGTCACCGGTTCTCTTTACTCTCTTCTCGATGACATCAGCAGATACAGTCTTCAAGTCGTAGGCCCAGCCGATCCGGGCCATCGTGTCGATGAACAATTTGGTGAAGTTCAGTGAATAATTTCCCAATTCTGCCGTTTTATAATCCCACGGGAACGTGTGGTGGTAGTTGTGGAAACCTTCGCCTAGAACGACTAAAGATACAGGCTTAGTCTCCACGGGGTTAATGTGCCTGTCGTAGGGCTTGGAACCCCACAGATGGGCGACAGAGTTGACAAACCATGTCACATTAAGGACGTAAACGTAGCGAAATATCGAACACACATAAAAGGCATTCCACAATGATTCGCCCCACAAAGTCGGAACATATGTAGGCAATATAAAGCAACTCAAAGGCATGAGAAGAAGGTAGTACCTGAAACAAAAAATGTGGCATGTAACGTGGCCGATGAAACTATTTCCTATTTTAAAGTCACGTCAAACTACCTCACAGGAAAACATTTATTTCAGGCTTTACCTTCTAAGTGTCGAAGATGAAAAGTTTCTAACATGCGCTTTTTTTTTTTCAAAATTCAAAATATTTTTACTCCCTATTCAGAGAAAAAATCTTAGGAAAAAATCACTTCTAATGGCACTACTTGTAATGACAAAATTATAAGTATCAAGCCCCCGTACCATACTTTTACCATTACCTTATCATCTGACGAAACTGAAAGTTTCTAATACGCATAAAGAAGAAGAATTGTTATAAACAATTTTAAATAAATGAATATAAAAACAATTTGTTTATCTGTAGCAAATTAAGACTTTGTAGATGATGATCACAATACTTGAGCGTACCTATATAAATAGGGCGTATATAAATTGAGAATACTAACTTTTTCTGGAAACGTAGTATTGGATCCGACCAAAGATCGTTCATGTCAAGGGTCTTGCCTTTAGCCTTGATCTGTGGGTGTTTCTTCACTAGCAGCCAACCGACATGCGAGAAGAAGAAGCCACGCGTTGCGTTGTGAGGATCAGCATCTGTTTCGGAGTATTTATGGTGCATTCGATGGTCTCGGGCCCAGTCCAATACGGAATCCTAAAATAAAGTTACATTGTCTATTTATATGGTTATAATATTTATATGACAATAATTCCTAAACAGTTATATAGGAAAGATAAAATCAACGCCCAAAGGACGATGATTTTTAAATGGTCACACCTTAACCATGTCCAAAACCTAATGATGGCCTTTAAATACAACCCCTTTCCAATCAAATTATACTTTTTGCATATTGAGCAACAAAAAAAAAATCTTTCCTTCAACAGAAAAAGTTCTTTCAGAAAAATATTTTTCTCACAATTGGTTGCTAATAAATTATGTTAGGCATTTATACGCATTTACGAGTAAATGCGAGCTATTCAAAAATACCCAAATATTTAAAATATGTTTTTCACCAGCGATTTTGTCAAAACCAAATTAATATAATAATTAAATGTTTGTCATTAGTTATAATTATATAGCAATGAGATATAGGTATGTGAATTTGAAAGAAATTAGATGTATGACAGTTAAAGTTTGTAGAAATTGTATGATAGTTATATATGCCACGAATTAACTATCTATAAATTTTCGTTAGTGTGGAAGACATGAAATAAACTTTAATTACATTATCTGCTAAATAATCGGACTTTGCTTTAGCGAATTATAATTAAAATTCTGTGGCAGATTACGCTTTAGTACTTTCCGACACATTGAACACTCGGTGACTTTCATCAAATCAAATCGTGTTAAGAGATGTCACGCGGAGATAACCTAAACTGACCGTAATGTCATTTGAAGGACACGAAAAGTTCCTTGCGTAAGTGATAACGTTATTTAATAACAGTACAAATGGGGAGTATAATATTTGTCATCATATTGCCAAGAATCACGGGTCCCAGATTCCTAATTACATATCAGTAGCCAACACGGGATCCATCTTCTGCGCACTTTGTCCAAATCATGTAGCGTGGCTTCCGACGAAAAGTGCCCACAAAAATCTAGTCGCCTATTTGCAGCCTTTGTCGTGTCAATAATTGTGCTGTATAACAGTTTCATTGAGTTTCATTTCGCTTTTGAAAATGTGATCGCCGTGTGGAGATCACGTCGTGTGCCACAACATTTACATCGCCCGAGAGGTTAATCGTTTCCGCGATAACCATGTCAAAGGTGAATTTGCAATGCATGCTTCCCACGTGTTCTAATGATGTAATTAAACAAATTAAACACCAATGACTTTGATCAGATTCTCCCTGGCACACGTCACGCAGCAAAAAGTAAAAGTAAAGGTAACAGCCTATACATATCCCACTTCTGGGCAAAGGCCTCTTCTGTACAGAGGGTATTAGGGCATCACGCGGCCCCACATCGGATTGGTGGACTTTACATAATATGTTCGAAATATATTTTTTATTATTTCGAAAATATGCAGGTTTCCTCACGATGTTTTCTTTCACCGCTTAGCACGTGATAAGTCAGCACTTAAAATTAACAATGTCATAGGTGCCGGCACAGGGGATCGAACTCAGGTTGCTCGAGTATTTTTTTTTTATGTGAAAAAGTGGCAAACGAGCTGGCGGTTCACCTGATGTTGAGTGATAACCGCCGCCCATGGACATTTGCAACACCGGTTGCAGATGAGTCTCACTCACCAGACGAAACGAAGAAGTGTAACACTTCTACTTTACGTCGGTCTTCTGTGAGACCGTGGTACTAACCCGGACGAACCTGCCCATTCGTGCAACAGCGAATACTGTTGCGTGGTCCTACCACAGTTTACTACCGGGTCAGTGATAGAATGTAAAGATCAGCGATGAAGAGTTTGACAATTTAACCCTGAGTAGAACAGAGTAGACAAATACACGATTCCTTGCTAGTTGTTTGTGAAATGGATCTATTTATGTGGTAGTTATTACACCGGCTTGGTCTTGGTCTGCACAAATCGTTCATGAAACCAACCTGAAAAGCTATTGTGTTGAAGACCGTTAGCATTATCCGAAGGGGAAGACGGGCTTTGTAGGACTTGTGAGCCCATAATCTGTGTGCACCAGCAGTTATGCCAAGGCCAGAACACAGGTACAGGACGAAGGCTGAAAAAATTAAACAACCAATATTTACAAAACATAATATTTCAAATGTTGTTTCGGTTTAATATTTATTTCGTCGTTTATAAGAATATTACATCATCCAAATGCTCCCAATTTTAAGGGTATTAAGAGCAATAATGAATTGAGCAATAACTCCAACTATGCATTGCGGTAAACGTTGTCTTAAATGAAATTTTATTAATGCGATAAAGAAACATCGTATAATTAGACATTGACACTAAATATAAAATTCTTTTTATAAAAAGAATTTTAAATTCAGTGTCAACGTACATTGATATAATTATGACGCATGAGGAAGTACTTACCAAATAGACCAGTGCGCCACATGGCTTTGAAGAAGAACAGATATCCACCGTACACTCCTCCTAAGTGCAACAGAGCGAAGAGTATGACATTCCTCCATACGATCTCCCATTTCCTCTTTTCTGCCGAGGGAGGTACCAGGGCGGCTTCGGTTTTATTCGCGTCCGTCTCAAACAGTGCCCAGGAATCTGTCTGCTGTCCTTGCGGCGGCATCTTGATCTGAACGAAACAAAAATCTTTATCATATATTCTTACATCAGCTTCTTAATGTTTACGTTAAGAAAAGTTATCAATGTTTCTCTTTATAAACACGCAACGGAAACGCAAACGGTTTGCGAACGAAAACTCAAAAAATTGTCAATTATTAATAGTTGTTTGTGTCTAGAAATCATATAGTCTCGTTTCATTCTCTTCGTTTTATCATTACATTTGCAGTACTGTTCGAATGAAAAATAATCGTTTCTCCTTTAAAGATAATACATAAGAAAACACATGTATAACTGATCACGTGTAGGTTACAACTATTAGTGACTCACTCTTAAACGCAATAATATAGAATAATAGCAAGAGTTAATTATGGGTGACCCAGTAATTATTATGAGGTATATTAAGAGTTAAGGTTGTAAAGTCGAGTAAGATAATATATCCCATTGCGAAATTCACATGTCTATTAAATATTTTTTGTTATTGCAGGTTTTTCCTTCATTTCTGAGCACATGATAAATCAAAACTTAAAATGAACAATTTAACTGGTGCGGGCGGCACCGGGATTCGAACTCATGTATATTGAATTAAAAGCGAGCGCAAATAGCTGACCTAGATTGACCTAATATGTGTATTATATTTAATTCAATGAATTGTACATGGGACCACATGGGAAACACCAGCTTTCAAATAAAAAAAAGACTTCATCAAAATCGGTACACTCAGGCAAAAGTTCTGAGGTAACGAACAAAAAAATACAGTAGAATTGAGAACATCCTCCGTTTTTGAAGTCGGTTAAAAGAAAAGCCGAAGCCAAATGCTTAGTATCTGCGTCACTGAGTCAAATATAATGTATATAACAAATATGTATCAAACTAACTTTATCCCATTTTAACAGTAACGCTTATTTTACATTACGGCGGAATTTTATGTTTATTCGCAACTTTATCAAAAACTAGCGACCTGCCCCGCCTACGTACGGGTGCAATGCTGAATGTTTGTTTTCGATCGCATTAGAAACTTGAAAATAATCAGTGTTTCTCTACTATATTATGCATGAATTATACCTATAAACCTTCCTCTCGAATCATTCATCTATTAAAGAAAACCGCATCAAAACCCGTTGCGTAGTTTTAAAGATCTAAGCATATAGAAGAACAATTAAATAATCTTGAGAGACTCCAAAATACTAGCATTCGGTTCATATTTGAGTTGCGTAAATATGACCATGTTTCTCAATTTCGTAAACGTCTCAAGTGGTTACCCATCCGATTTCGCCGGAATTTACATATCCTTTCTGTTTTGTACTGTGTCTTGTTTCATGGTTGTACTCCACCATATCTAAAGGAGAAATTTGAGTTTGTAGGGCTTCCAGGGGAAGATCTACCTTCTTCGAGGAAGCTCATTTTAAAGGTGCCAAATTACAAAACTTCGTTTTATGAAAAATCTTTTACCATACAGGCTATTAAGCTCTGGAATTCCTTGCCTTTAGTTTTACGTGAGGCGCAATCTATTGCCACTTTTAAGAAGTTAGTAAGAGAGTACTACCTGTCACAATGACCTGAGTAATATTAGGATTAAATACTATTCATGTGGTCTAGTATATATATATGTGTGTGTATATATATGTATAGTATATGTATATAGTATATATATATGTATATTTATGTATATATGGGTATGTCTGTATAAATGTATGTATCTGCTTTAATAATATATTATTTATATTTCTATTGTACCACCTACGTAGTATACGTTTCCTTTAAGCCATTGGTTGCCTGGAAGAGATCGCTATGAAGCGATAAGGCCGCCAAATAGTACATTGCATAAATTTGTTGTTCTATTGTTACTTTTATGTATATTCTTATTTGTGGTGGACAATAAAAGTGTATTCATTCATTCATTCATTCATATATATTGACAGACAGACAGCGGGATGACTTTGTTTTATACTATGTAGTGAAGTGAATAATCGCTTCAATATTATTTAACGTTGAATAAGGACAGAGACGCTTCGGCGATCATGTCTCAAAACCTGTATGTACTTTGTCAAAATACTTTTATCTACGAGCATAAAAAAGTCGTATATTCGATAACACCATGCTTTGCGTAACTTTTTGCAAAAGGAAACGTTGAAACGTGTTCATCATTTAGAAGGTACTTAGTATAAAGGTGTTTGAAGTTCAGTACAGTCGTTTGCTATAGACGACAATGCAAAATGTGCGCGAGAATAAGCTAGTGGTTTGACACTAGAAACGTATCGTTTGGAGAACATAATTGGAGCAAATGATTCTACATCAGTGTAAACATAAAGCTTTTGGAATCCACAAAAATATTAAACGGATCGTTTTTATTAGGCTTTCGTAACCCTAATAAAGACGATCCGTAGGGTTATGGATCGAAAAAACAGAGAGATTAACAGATAAAAAATAAATAGGAGAGACATAGTGTAGGTATACCTACACTATGTCTACTATTTAAATTAAAGTCAGATCTCAGAAATTTGTGTGTACAAAGGGTTAGTAATCAAGCACTCGCCAGATTATAAGAAAAATTATACTCGCAAATTAAAAGAAAAAAATATTATGTGCCAAAAAAAATAGCTTGTATAACACAAGGTTGTACTGTTAGTTTCAATAAAGAAAGAGGACAATGAATAATTCTGGCATTATAGAAATGTACCGTAGTAGAAAAAAATGGAAGGTCGTGTTCATAAAAATAAGAAGATGAAAATCTATTCCATGTGAGCGAGCTATGTGAATGAATATAAACAGACAGATTCCTTACTGATTTACATCTTATTACATGAAAACTGTTTATGCAGCGATACATGACAAACTTACATATAAGTATAGAAGAATATTTGAAAATAAACCTTTTCGACAAACTTACATTCAATTACAGAGTATATCGTTCGAGAAGTAGCACGTAAAATAACTAAGAAATAAAATCGAAACAAATGTATATAACCAATTAAAACTAATATTACCATGTTAAAAATAAGCATTTTATTATTATATAGGCATCTGTAATATAGTCGAAATGACCTTTTACGATTGTCGTGTCGCAGAATGTTATTAAACAATTTTTTTTAATCTATGGTTAGACAAAACTATACAGGGTGGCATTTCTAAAGGTGCCCAAATTCACACAGGAGATTCAGACTCGGTAGTATAATTGATTATTGAAATAAAAACAAACTTTTTTTTAATTCCCATTCTATTCCCTAAAAAACAGAACTTATTGACAATGCGGTAGTCATTCATAAATGAATGAGTAAAATAAATGAGTTGCCCATAAATCACGCACTTATTGAGATAAGTTATAATGAATGTAATTAATTAATTACGAGTCATTTTAAATATTTATCATTTTTATATAACATTATTTATGTCTAGAATTTAATTTTAAAAAATGGATACACCATTGAATATTAAAGATTTTCAGCAATATTATTCATTATTAATAACATAAAATTATATAATATTTGATATTGATAATATAGAATAATGCTGATGTAAGATAATAACAGAAGTACTAATTTCATGGAAGAAAATACGATCTGAACAAACCTGAAAATAGCTTTTTTCAAAGTTTCGTTGATCATTAGAATTAAATCAAAGTACTTTATACCCATCGTTGTGCGTTCATAAAATTTGTGATTAAAGAGACGTTCAGTTTATAAATTCCTTAGTTCGTAGTTACAGTCCTTATTTAAGTAAGGTATATATAATATTCTAGCCTTTTCTCATCGCACATTATATTAATGTTATTAGAATAGAACCAACTTTAGAAGTATATAAGTAGGTACCGCCGATTTACAATATTGCCGGTCGGGAATCAAACCGAACATCCGTAACTGAGCTCAGTAGTAAAATTAAAACGACGTCGGCTAGGTAATTTGTAAGCTGAATTTCGCAAACTCGATATTTACAACGCAATAGCGGACTACTGTTACGAACCATTGCCTTCCATACAAGCGCACCCGCGCTAACAGAAACAGTAATCTTAACAAACGGTTTTATTACGTTTCGCACCAACAAACACATGCTACTTATAGTTTTATAAATTAAATTACTATAAATGCATTTATATATTTTAGGAAACACCATTAAAGTTAAATAACAGCGTATACATGACCCACTGCTAGGCAAAGGCCTGCTCTGTACAGAGGGTATAAGGGCATTGTCTACAACTCGGCCCCACTGCGAACTGGAGGACTTCACATATATTTGAAATATTTTTTTGTTATTATTTTCCACACGATTTTTTTCTTCACCGCTGAGCTCGTGATATGTCAGCACTTACAATTAATAATTTCATTGGTGTCGGCACCAGGAATCGAATTTAGGTTGCTCGGGTATATTGAAATAAAAGCGAGCGCATCGACACTGGGCTATCACGGCTCTTTCCTGATTGTATAAATATCAAACATTTTTAGAGGCATTTGATGAAAAAGGTATTGAAATCTCAATAAAATTAGATTTAAATCCTCTGCATAATCAAATGCGTTTATGCTGTTGGTAAGATACGGTAAAAATATCATTTATTCGATGTAAATCTTGGGAATCTGAATCTGATAAAAATCAGAGGAAATATTAAATTTTTATTACCATTGGAGAATCTTAGCATAGGAAGAAACTACATTGTTTCTTATATATTGTAAATAGCACTTTTGCAGCAGGATTTGTTATGCTCCATAATGTTTTAAATGACTATTATATTTTGTCAAAAGGCAAAAAGACTATTATATATTATCTATGTAGTTTAAAAATTGAATATAAAACAGATGGTTAAAAATTATTCCATACAAGATACAT